AGGGGCACCCTTGCCCACTTGTGCGCCGAGAGCGATTGCAGTGGGACACGCAGGGGGAACTCAGACCGCGCGCTCTGATCCAGCAACTTCTGGTGGCAGATGCCCACGAAGACTAGAGGCGGTCCCTGCGGAGGGTCGCATAGTGCACGCGGAATACTGCGGGGGCCTCGGTCGAGACGCTCCGGCGCCAAACCGCGCCGAGAGCACAGCAGGCCTGCCCCGCGGGGATATCGTGAGAACTCGGGCCCGGGCCCGCCCTGCGTCTCCCAAGCCCCGCAGGGGTCTCCGCGGGTCTTCTCGCGAAGCCTCGCAAACCCATCATGGCGGACAATGGGGCGCCGGCGCTTTACCGGACCCCCATGAGAAAAAACAATTATCCGCTGCATCTGGATGGGCGCCTGGCCGGCCAAGTCGACAAAGTGGAATGACTGCGAAACTGAAGCGGTTCGGATGAAACCGATGGGACCCATCAGGCTCGCGCGCGAACGCCCTGAAGCTCGAACTGATATTGCGCAGCTGCTCAACCGACCGCGGATGGGGAAAAGGAGCGCGCAAATCAGGAATGGGAAATCCAACCTGCGGACTGGGATCATCGCCAGCAAGCCATGCCTTCTGTCAAACAGACCTCTCCCGCGCTAAACGCGCCGGCAAGGGCCCGGGGCAAATCTGGCAGGGCGGCAATCTCCTCGGCTCACTCGAGCGCAAATACGCAAAAGCGCGCCTCATGCTGGACTCGGCGGCTTCGATGCACCGCGGTTGCCGCGACCCCCTGGCCCTGGGGCGATCCTCGAGGTAACCGACGCGAGTCTGGGCGGAAACGACATCGGCCCCCACGTCCAGGAACGAGATCTGTTCAGAAACGTCAGTGGTGCTCCGCAGCGCTCGGGAGATCGCGACGCAGAAAGGATGCCAGAGAAATCCACCAGCGCGCCCATGCCGACGGAATGAATCACCCTCCTGCGGTAACTTATCCCGCTGGCCCAACAGCTGGTACAAATACTTATATAGCTTCCCCTTGATAGCAATAGCCCGAACTTCTTTGAGTCCAGCCAGGACCCAATGCATGGGTATTCCTGGAAACGCGTTTCGATACTGCTTGGTGGCTTACAAGGTACTGAGGGGAACTTCTTGAAACCCCTATCGGGGCACCACCTGGGAGCCCAGGGAGCCCTTTGCACATGCCAACGGCGAGCATCTCATCCCAAGCCCTGGAGCACCAATTCCCACTGACCTCATTGAGCAGCTGGATCCCCACGTCCTCGTGGGACCCCGTGGCCATGAACGCCTGTCCAGAATCATCCAGTTGGACCCCCCACAATCGCAGTCAGGAGGAGGAACGCGAGGCCCGACACCAGGGGTGTGAGGAACATGTTAATGCGGCTTCGGAACGAGAACTTCAATGGCATGCACTATCTTCTCGAGAGCAAGCTCATGGGCGGCGAGGGCTGAAAGGGGCACGCAGGTCCACTGGCGCACCCCCTGTCGCAATGTCGAGCGCGCGACCGAGCGCGGAGAAATCGACGACGGATGACGACCCCAAGGCGATCGGCGCAGGGGCGCATGGCTCGAATGGCACACCCTGGCTGAAGGGGAAGATGACGCAGATGCTCGTTGGGGTTCATATTCAAGTCGCCACCGATGAGAAACGGCAGATGGTGAGAAAAAAACATCTCTCCAATTAGCATGCAACACACTTTGATTGAGACTGGAGGTGCCTTCAGAGTCTTTGGGATACACTGAGTAGCATACCAACGCACCAATCATGGCATCATGAACGTAGCAACGACACACTCTGCCAGCAAATATGGAAGACCCACAAGCACGCCATCCCCATCGTTGGAGCCGCCATCAAATATGGAAGACCCACAAGCACGCCACCCCCATCGTTGGAGCCGAGCAACCTGGCGCCGAACCAGGCCCCCTACACAGTCGATGCTCTGGGAGAAACGCCACGTCACAATCAGTGGACTTGACGAACTCGGTCAAGATTGGAGTCTTGCTCGCGGAATCCTCCCCGCTCATGTTAGCCCGAGCTTCGCTATGCCAGCTCGAACCATTGAACGTGGCAGCCTTGCGCGAAAGAAGATGGGGCTCCTGCTCAAGTTTGTCGGCGCACAAATCTGACGGTTCTGACACTTGCCTGTCGAGGCCAATTTGAGCAACAGGCTTGGATGAGGACAAACACGCAGAGCCACTCCACGTAGCCGTAGGTGTCCTCTCCGACCCACCGGTGGCCGAAGGTGCCCAGCACGAAGCCCCCGCTGTCGACGTGCCCGACGATCCATTGGGACCCGCAGGGCTGGACAAAGAGGACCCAGCCGTGCAAGAGGCTGGCGCACACCTGGAAACTGACCGACTCGTGGATGACCCAGTCCACCGCGCCGCTCTGGCATGGGGCGCTCCCTGGGCATTATCCCTCCTCGAGGGGCCTCTGTCATCACGTGACAGGGGTGTCCAGGCATTGAAACCGTCGACCAAAATGACGGACCCGAACTCGCGGCACACGGGCCAGATCCCTCTTCGAGTCTAGCCGCCGAGTGGTGGCCAGCCTGCACCCAACTGTCGTCAGGCTCTGAACATGAAAAGGTTGTGTTTGACGAAGTGCCGACATGCGACGCCAAAAGACTCCAGCCCGTGCTAAAGCTCCTGCTCACCGATGTGTTCCAAAGCACGCTGCGGATGTTGGCACTCCGGAGTAAATGCCACACCAACATTGATACGACCTCCTGGCCCGACTCCTGAACCTGGGCTTCTCTGCAGCCTCCCACAACGCTTCCAGGAAAGCTCGCTTCTGAGAAGTATCAATACCAACCGCCCTCTCCAACGCATCGGCCATGTCCGCCTCACCGACTTCCATGACCACGGCAGGTGACTCGGGCGGTGGCTCACCTGGCGCAGCAGCACCGGGCTGGCTTCCAGGAGACAGAGGACCTGAAGGTGCCCAGCAGCTCGCTGCACTCGGCCTCCAGCCCCGAACGCACGCCACTCGCCCCAACACCTGCCAACGTGGCCTTGAAACCGGTCACCTGCTGAGCGAGAACTTTCATACTGGGAGGTGCTGCAGCGGCCACCCGTGCAGCAGCAGCTTTCTTGTCTCTCTCTCCAGAACGGCTTTCTCTTCCAGGATGGCGTCGGCAAGCTCCTGCTTCTTGTACCCAGGGTCAGCGATCTGATCCTGGTAAGCCTCCTCCTCCTCCTCCTCCTCCTCCTCCTTCTCCTCGTCCTCCTCCTGCTGGGAAGGGGGGGAGGCGGAAGAGGAAGTGGAGGAAGACGGGGGAGGGGCGAAGTCGGAGTCGGAGGAGAGGGAGGACGAAGAGAACCAGGAGCAGGAGGAGGGGCAGGAGGAGGACGAGGCAGAGGGGAAAGAGAAGGTGGACGATGAAATGAAGAGAAGAAAGGGGGAATGTACCAGGATCTTCCCAACACCGTTTTTACTGAAACCAGTGGACTCATCCCGACTGGGTCGAAGCAGAAGCCCCTCTTCAGAAATCATCTTCATATGAACCCCATGCTGTCCTGGTATCATCTCTCCATTCCTTCTACGTCTGCCGCCTGCTCTGCCCTCTCCTCCTCCTCCTTTTCCTGCAAGCCCATAATCCAGTATCCCTCGTCCCGCACCCCCTCCTCCTGCTCCCTCCTCGACAACCTCCTGATGACACCTGTGTTCGTCCACCCCCTTCTGTAGCCTCTAATCTTTTCTTCTCTTCATCCTTTGTGCGAGTATGCAGAGAGGACGACGAACCTGTCTCGACACGGTCATGCCGCGGGTAGGTAATTGAGAAGAAGAGCGGAGAGGCTGTACGAGAAGCCGAATAAGGGGGAAGGACGGAGATGGGGAATATGCAAGTGAACGAGATGCTTCAAGAGGAGAAAGTGGAGGAGGGGAGAAGGAAGACGACGACCATCGAGGAGGAAACACATGAGGATGTCAACAATGCGAGAGGGGCAGGATGAAGGACGAGAGGACGAAGCGGAGATAGGAGGGCAGAGCATGATGAGGATGATGGTGCTGATGACGATGATGATGATGATGATGACGACGACGATGAAGCTGATGATGATGACGATGATGATGATAAGGAGGAGGAGGATGCTTTTTGACAGGCGCCAAAATCTGAACAGCAATTGTGCTGGGGAGTCATCTCGACTCCAGCTTCACTTTGCAACTGCTAGCGCGCCAAACTGTCTTGATGGCAACGTGCTTTGCTTTGGCACAAACTGCCACATGAGACGTCGTCGCACATGCTGCAACAAGCCTTGTGCAACATGATCGACAAACCAACCTCAAGGGCTTCCGACCAAGTAAAGACCTTCTCTCATCTGGAGCGGACCTTAACCAGCATGGGAATCGGACTCGCCTTCGTGAGCGAACTCATCTACAACACGCTGACAGAGGCGACTGGATAGTACATGATGGTATGAATGCATGGTTTGCTTGACACTACCTCCAGGGACTGCTGAACTTTATAAGGAGGAGGCAGATGAAGAGGAAGTGAATGAGAAGGAGGGAGTGGCGGAGTGAACGATGATGATGGCGATGATGATGATGATGATGATGATGATGATGATGATGATGATGATGATGATGATGATGAGGATGAGGAGGAGGAGGACAATGGTGACTATGATGATTAGTATGGTGATGGTGATGGTGATGGTGGTGATGGTGATGGTGGTGATGATGATGACGATGACGATGATAATGCTGATGATGATGATGATGATGATGATGATGATGATGATGGATATGATGACGATGACGACGAGGAGGAAGAGGAGGACACCATTGTCACCATTGTCCTCCTCCTCCTCCTCCTCCTCCTCCTCCTCCTCCTCCTCCAACTCCTTGCCTTCCACACACACACACTCTCAGAAGGCTCTCTTGCCTTGTCTCGCAGGCTTACTCCTACGGACTTCTCGGTATCGAGGCGCCTTGAGGCTGGCGCGGCAGAGGGAGCAGCCTCAGACCCCGAGGCCAGGCCAAGGTGGAAACCAGGCAGTCAGTCGCCGTAGTAATACTTGCTCGGGCTCCCCCTCCTCCTAGGAGAGCTTCCCCTCCTCCTCTGAGCGTCGTTGTCGTCGTAGTAGTTCCAGCCCCTCCGCCTCCTGGGGGTGAAGTTGTTGTCCCAGTCGTTGCAAGCACCTTCGAGGCGGCTGTCCCCGTCCGCACAGAAGAACTGGTCACCCCGCTGCACGCAGTGGCGCTCTTGGACTCTCGTACAATCCTGGGACAGCGTGGTCCTGCCATCTGAGCAAGCGTTCTCGGTGACTGGGGCATCGTCGCCGGTGCAGCTCACGATCATCCCTCTATGGCAGTACAGCCCGTCGCCACGGTCAGCTCCGCCGTTCCTGCAGAAAGGGTCGTCGCACTCCGCTGGCCAGCCGTAACAGCGGCTGAGCTCCGGCTGGCATGTCTTAATCTTCGTGCCGGGGAGCTGGTACTTCCCCTGGGTGCAATAGACGCGCGAGTTGCTGTACTCGCTGCCGTCGGGGGGCATGCAATTCAGACCCTCTTTCTTGCCCTCGCACGGCGGAAAGACCGCCTTCTCCTCGACAGACGCCTCCAAGGACACCGCGTGGGAGCTCCCAGGATCCGCGCCGCCCCGACGAGCCAGCGCTCCCGCGGCGAACTCTGACAGCCCCTCGTGGGAAGGCAAGCAGAAAATCCGATACCGCCACGCCGTGCGCCCCAGCTTCGAGGCGAGTCCAGCCGTGGCGACGAGGGCTCTCCAGGACGCCCCGCAAATCCCGACCCTTTCCCCGGGACCGGTGTTTCGTCCTGAGTCGTTTTTTGACGGTCCCGAGGCCCGGCGAGGGCCCCCCCGGGCCGAAAATATCCAAAAACCGTCCGTCCTGTTGTTTTTACGACGCGACCATGTCTGGGGAGCCAGAACGCGACCTTCGTCTCAACGGGCCCAAGCCATGGCGATGGCAGGCATGGCCTCCATGGCCAGCCGGCCAGCACCCGAGGCGCCCCCCGGGCCGGCCTGCCGGCCGGCGCCATCGTCGTCGTCGCTGTCGCCGTCGAGGCTTCGCGAAAGCGCCCGGCATGAAACAAATATAAAAAAGCAGGAACGCCTGGGTCTCGAGGTTTCCTGGTCGCGTCCCAGACCCCCGACGTAATGATTTGTTCATTACGTCGACCCCCAGAGGTCCCGACCCTTTCCCCATGACCGGCTTCGCATCCTGAGCCGTTTTTTGACGCTCCCGAGGCCCGGTGAGGGCCCCCGGAGGCCGAAAATTATGAAAAACCTCCCGTCATGATTTTTTCATTGATTTTTTCATTACTCGGGGGGGGGGGCTGGGGTGAAAGCGACCCAAACATGCGACGTCCTGGTTTTTTCAGGACGGCGTCTCCACGAGTCCCGACCCTTTCCCCGGGACCGGATTTTCGTCCTGAGTCGTTGTTTGACGGTCCCGAGGCCCGGCGAGGGCTCCCCAGGGCCTGAAATAGCCCAACACCGTCTGTCCTGCTGTTCTTACGACGCGATCGTGTCTGGGGGCGGGTCCCGAGGAAAACGGGTCCTGGACCCCGTAGTTTGGTTGGCCTTCCGACTTGGAATCGTGTCGCAAATGCACCCCGAACGATACGGAAAAACATGGCGAAAATGTCCACCTGAGGAAGTGATAGCGCGGATACTCCCGCAGAGGTGTGGCGAAAACAGCGACGGCAAAGTAGGGCGGAAATCGGCATCAAAGGAGCTCAACAAGTAGGGCGCAACTGTCCGCCCTACTTGCGAAACACAACAAAATACGGCGGATCCGAAGTCGGGGTGGGCCTTCCCCAACAAGGACCCGCTCGTCCCGAGGCCCGGCGAGGGCTACCCCCAAGGCCTGACATGGCCGAAAACCGACCCCGTCCTGCTTTTCCTACGACGCGATCGTGCCTGGGGCCGGGCCCCGAGGAAAGCGGGCCCTGGACCCCGTAATGTGAGGAAACTGCGCCACGCCACGCCATGCTGTGACATACTACGCTTTGCGGTGCTCTTCAACGCCCTGCCATGCCGTGCTCTACAATGCATCGCGTACCCTTTCGAGATCATTGCCCTGCTCGACATCCAACTGTGCGAGTAGAGAGGGGATCTACGCCATGGTAAGGGATGGGAGGGACGGGTAGGCTGTCATATATGAAGCGAACGCCGGGGGCCGGACGATTAAAAAAACAGTTTCCGGCGGCTGAATTCTATTAGTCCGCCCCACTCAATCATTTTGGGGGGTCCGGGGGGGGGGGGTAGGCAGTTTTTTTCCATCGTTTCCTCGCATTACCTTGGTTGGCCTTCCGACTTGGAATCGTGTGGCGAAAACAGCGACGGCAAAGTAGGGCGGGCCCCGAGGAAAGCGGGTCCTGGACCCTGGGCCTTCCCCAACTTTTTGGTCTGCGGGGCGAGAGCGAACCTCTGCCGGTAAAAGCTAGGCGGGCTACGCACAGCTCTAACTGGGGAGACAGGGCACAGGCGGGCGGGGCCTCAGGCGGCCGGAGGGCAGGGCCTTCCCCGACGA